AAAAAAATCCATCTCAGAAATAGATTTTTAAGAGGCGCCGCATTTCTACATGGGTGGGCTTGGCCCACATGCTAACCACATCCATAATATATTAGGGAATCGGGCTATCCTGACCATCTAAATTACATAGTTCCCATTCATTACATTTGTTATTATTTTTCCCATTTTAATTTTTTGTTTTTGGATTTTTTTAGAGAATCTGATTCTCACACTGGAGAATTTGTCTGGCTAGCGAACCTCAATGAGATTTCCCGAGAGTGGTTCACCTAGCCACGTTTTAAACACTACTAAGTAACTCCGGCAATCCAAGTTTTAGAGTTTCCTTGTCAATTTAGGCTTCTATTTAGGGCTCGGATTAGTTATTTCGGAGGCCCACAATTTTATGGGTGCAGTAGCTAAGGACCCTATAGTTCTTCTCAAATGGGTGGCGATCCAGTTTGGCAAGCAACTATTTATGTGCCCACCTTTCATTAATCATATTTTCTTTTTCAAGAATATTTTTTTTGCAGTTAATGTTATCAGGAGTGTATTAAAATCCATCGATCCAGATCGAGAATCACCGTTTCAAATCGAAAATTGATTGAGAATCACCGTTTCAAATCAAATCTAATGTTTTTTTCTGTCTCTCATAAATCCCCACCCTATAAACCACTATTTTAATTTTTCTTTGTTGCATAGTTTTTTGATATTTTTTCTAGATCGTTAAACCAAATTGATCTGATCTAGATCACCAATCAAACAATCTGTCACAAATGTACATGGGACGAACGGTGTAATCTATGGATCTCGATTTTTGAAAACTGGATCCGTAAGGCCGTGGCTTTTTATGAGCACATAGAGACGGGTTGGTGATGGCCACAAAATTCAATTTCTGACATTGAAACCCCCTTAATTATGTACAGTATCCAAATTTGGATGAAAGAGAGTTGGTAGATGCCAGTTCTGTTATACTGACATACTACCCCACAAGAGTGGCAGCAACTACCTAAGATGGGGAAACAAGAAGTTATTTATTTATTAAAGCATCTTTTTACCTGATCCGATAGGATTCCGATAAATTTAGGTTTTATTATTTGGAAAAATTAGGTGCGGACAGTAAACAAAATCTGGAATTATTATATGGTTTATATTTTCTTCAATTTCGTTACAAAGTATTAAGTTTTGACAATCTTTTTTATTCTACTTTTAAATTATCACAAACTACTTTTTTTTATTTTTTTGTTATATATAGGGCGGTGCGATACCCAAGAATCGAACGAGGTTTGATATTAGCAATATCGTATTGTGTTACTCGCTTAAGAATGGGGAAATTCTATATGACCTGGCTTAAGAATGGGGAAATTCTATATTACTAATATTGAACTGCCCTATGTTTGAAAGAAAATCTAACACATGAAGCGAGATTTGGGCTGCTTTTGTACCACCCTAGAGGTCACAAAAGTAAAAAAATATAAAACAAAAGCAGTTGGATGTTGCTAATATTGAAGTAGGGGCAGAACTAATATAAAAGATAACCATAAAAAAAATAGGATCCGACTGTATAATTGGGAAAATATGGACTATAGGATGATTATGTATTTATTTCCCAATTTATGTCCAATATTTCTGCAAATCCATATCCGATTTACATAGATAAATCGGTCGAATCACATAAAACCCGAGAGATAGAGAGAGAGAGACCCTCTATATTGTAATTCTACGGTGGATGGATGTCACACCCCAAGAATTTACAATACTATTATTCCTAAGATGTGACGGACAAAACATATATACATCTATTGATAGGACAAATTTACAGTGGCGAGGTCTTACAAAGTAAATAAAGAAAGCTAGTACAACAACAGTATCTTCCAAAGTTGATCTTGACTATCACTCAAAATGAATCCGCAGTTAGCCTGAAAAAATATTTACCATAGTTTGATGAGTTTGGCTACTCAGTAAAGTGATCATCATAATTCTAAAAATAATCATGATTGAAATATATCAATATTTTCCAAAATGAGATCTATTAACAGAAATGCATCAACAGTTTCACTTTCAATAAATGCATAATTAAGTCTAATCCGAGTAATTGAAATGCTTATAACACTTTTAACGGCAGTACATAATTCAAAGGATTTGACAAAATACCCTACTGGCGTCCCAAGTAGGTCACCTATATACCCATCAGCGTCCTGATGGGTCCACTTAAT